CCCTGGGTTCGATTCCTCAGCACCACATAAGCAGAAAAAAAGCTGGAAGTGGTGCTGTGGTTCAAGCGGTAGGGTGCTAGCCTTGAGCTGAAGAGTGGAGGGACAGCGCCCAGGCCCAGAGTTCAGCCCCCATGACCACAAAAAACAAAACAAGAAATATACAAATATAACCAGTATTTTTTATTCATTTCTTCTTCAGGACCAAATTCTTTGATGGTTAAACTCCAACCACATCAGAGACCAGCAATTAGCGTTTGTTAATGAGAACTCCAGGATACCCAAACAAAATGCTAAATTTCCTAATATGAATCCTACTAACTCCAGGGGTGCAAGCAACCTTCGATATGTGACCTGGGAACATCCATGCAGTTCCTTTTCTCTGCGCTTCTAATATTAGCTCAGCTGCTAATGAGTCTTCCAGAGGGGGCTGTGGCTATTTTATAAATCCCCAGAAACAATCTATTTTTAAGAGTGCTTGAAAATTGGCTCATTGCATGTAAACGATGTTACTATTAATATACATGGCATAAAATTATCTAAAGGAGGATACAAAAGGAGAGTGAGAAAAAAAGTACAAGTCAATCAAGCACTCAAATTCACTCATTTTCCTGCAACCCACAAAGGAAAAAACACTTCTGACTGTGTACTTCTTCATTCTGTGTGTGTGTGTCCATGTGCATGTGTGCGCGCACGTAGGTATGCCAGTACTAGAGCTTGAACTACGGGCCTAAGCACTGTCCCTTAGCTTTTTTGCTGCAGGCTGGCACTCTACTAGAGCCACAGCTCCCCGTCTGGCTTTATACTGGTTAATTGGAGATAAGACTCCCTTAGATTCTCTGCCCAGGCTGGCTTCAAACCATCATGCTCAGATCTCAGCCTCCTGAGTAGGTAGGATGATGAGCTACCAGCATTCATTTTTAGTCCGTACTGTGGACATGTGGCTGGGAAGAGGAGGGGGTGGGGCGGAATGAGGGAAGGCACTCACCTAGTTCCGGTGCTTTGCTTAGCACAAAGGCGTAAGCCCAGAATTTGCTGATGGGTCCATTGTAAAAACCCTGGTCACAAACTGACTGTTTCAGTCCTTTGGTCATCAATATGTACACCATGTAAGCACCAGTTCGAAGAGCACCGAATGTACTTCATAATGAAAAGAAAAAAGAAACAACTGTTAGAAATTCAATTTACTTCTGACATCAAGCACACAAGAAGGGACTGGCAATCATTGGTAGGAAGGAGGCAGCATAATCACAATAACGTGCATTTACCTGAAAGTACCTCTGTGTGTGTGTATGTGTGTGTGTGTGTGTGTGTGTGTGTATACTTGCATGTGTGCCAGTCCTGGGGCTTGAACTCAGGGCCTGGGCGCTGTCCCTGATCTTTTATGCTCCAGGCTAGTGCTCTACCACTATAGCCACAGCTCCACTCTGTCCTTCTTACCTTCTATATTGTGTGAGTGAGGGGAAGGAAGTACAGGGGTTTGAACTCAAGACCTTAATTTTTTCCACCCAGGGCTGGCAATCTACCACTTACAGCTCCACTTTTGGCTTTTTTTGAGATAAGAGTCTCACAGGCTTTCTTGCCTGGGCTGGCTTCTAACTGTGTGTGGTCTTCAAATCTCATCTTTCTGCATAGCTAGGATTAAAGGCACAAACCACTGGTGCTTGGCTTTTCTAAAACTTTCTAATTTCAAAGAAATGTCTTCTCCAAGAGAAATGACCTAAGCCTTCCCAGGCAAGTCAACTGTCTCATTTGGAGACAAGGAATCGGATTGCACTGGTAAAGTCAGATAATAATGATTTTTGTTGTTGGTGTTGAATTGATTTCTTGTTCTGCCTTTACCTCACTAGATGTTGGAGATATATATATATATATATTTATGTTTTGCTTTTTTTGGTCCTGGGACTGTACCTGAGCTTTTCTGCTCAAGGCTAGTACTCTACCACTGAAGCCACAGCTCCACTTCTGGCTGTTTGGTGGTTCATTAGAAATCTGAGCATCACTGCCTTTCCTGTCTAGACTGGCTTTAAACCGTGATCCGCAGATGTCAGCCTTTCTGAGTAGCTAGGATTACCAGTGTGAGCCCACCCAGAGACAGCTAAATTTTAATACAAGAAGCTCCAGCAACCCCAATTTGGCTGCTTTGTTTGGCTGCGATGGAAGTTTACAGGAAAATCTGAATGAGGTACCACAGAACACTGTGCATTGCCAGTTGGATATAAATTCCTCCTTTCTTTTCCAGATTAAAGAACCCTTTCCTACGGAAGGAAAATCAACTTAAGATATGGTGTTAGCTATGGTGCTTGGCCCTATTGCCAATTTTGAATTATTTTCCTTATCTTTTCATTTAAAGAAATTAGGAGCAAATCTAAAGTGTCTCCATTAGTGTTAGCACTCCTGTTTTCCTTACCAGTCACATATTAGGGTGGGCATGTGACCCAATTCTCGCCAGTGAGGGAGCAGGTGTGGGTGAGGTAGGACTCTCCTGACCTTTAACTCACAGGGCCTGGAAATGAAGCCGCCATCTTGCAAATCTCAGACCTGCCTCCAAGGACAAGGCCAACTCAGGACAGGCCAAACAGTTTCTCCAGAAGTGACTGTTGTGGACAGCCAGCTCATCACTTTGATCCATCTCAAGACCTCTCGCTTTAGAGATAATGTATCTACTTTTCATATATCTGCTTTTCATAAAGCCCAAAGAAAGGAACATGCAAATAATGCCCTTTCATACAAATTGATCTCACTAGTCCCAGAGCTAGAATTCTTCTGAGTCAGCAAACGTTTTCTAGAAAATCACCTTTCCAGTGTCCTCACCACCATATGTAGAAACTGCAGTTTCTACTATTTGCTGCTAGGGTGTGTGCTTTGTCTTAAAGATCACGGGTAGTTCATCACCCATTTCTTTCTTTTTTCTTTTGGCAGTACTGGGGTTTGAACTCAGGGTCTCCTTCACATTTGCTTGTCAGGCACTGCCCCCAATAGTCCTTTTTGGCACTGATATATTTTGGATATGGTCTCACAGTTGGCTTTGGACCAGGATCCTCCATATACCCCTTATTCAGCTAGAACCACAGGCACGCAGCTCACTCCCGGGCTTGCTATAAGATGGGCTTGCTAATTACTTTGCCTAAGGTGGTATCAAACCTCATTCTATCTGATCTCTACTTTCTGAATTGCAAAGATTACAGGCATGAGCTATTGTGCTTGGCCATAGTCCTAATTTCGAATGGGTAATGCATAATGGCTTCCTTTCTGTTGTAATAGAAATCATTAGTCAAATTCTGGCCTGTTGGCTATGATCACAAGAGTTCTAGGAAGTGGGTCTGAATTTGGAGCCAATAAATATGGCATATACAAGTTGGAGGTTTAAGATGCCTGTGTGTGTGTCTGATTTAGCATCGTAGAACCAAAGCTCTTGGTATCACAGTGACATACAATAATGCTGACAATGAGTGCACACAACACATATTATTGTCTCGTATCTGGGCCTAAGCTGAACTGTGAACAAGGCTGACTCAGAGCAGAGGACAGTGGTGCTTGTCTGGGAGACCGTCAGTGCCAGCCATTGGTGCATTGTTGTAGGCTGACAAAGCTATTGCTGGGGTGGGGGGTGGGGGCGCCTCTCAGCCAATAGGATGATTGTTCCAGGTGGGAAGCCACCAGCTCTGGGCCCAGTACATCTCAGCCACCACCTCCTATGGAACTGGGCGGGGATTATGACAAACACACCTCACAGTGACATGTTACTTAATACCCTGTCAGGAGAGGAGCCATTCTCTCTTGCCAGCCTCACATTTCATCATGACCCAGGAGGCACCTCATGAGCCCCCACCCCCTTATTTTTGCTCAGAGGCAAACTTGTCTACAGCATTCACCCACTCTTTGGCTTAGGCCCAGTTTGAAAGCATTCTGAGCAGCTAACAAGAGCTTTGAATTGCAGAGCGAAGTCTTTGGACACACAAGGCTATGGGCACACCAGGATCACTTACTGGATTTGGGACCGGACACGCTGGGTTTTCTTTCATGTGGAATGAGGAGTCTATATAGCCTGCAAATTCCTTCTATGAGTTTTGTAAAGCACTGTTCAGTAAGGTGTTTAGTGTCAAGCTTCTGATATACTCATGCTCAATAATATTGTTTATGAATGGTTAGCAGGGCTTGTAATCCTAGCTACCCAGGAGGTTGCAATCTGAACATCAAGGTTCGAAACCAGGTTAGGCAGGCAGGAAAATATGTGAGACTTATCTCCAATAAACTACCCGTCTCCCCCCGCCCCCCCAGAAGTAGAGAGCTGTGGTTTATGTCGTAGAGTGCTAACCTTGAGCAAAAAAAGCTCAGGGATAGTGCCCAGGCCCTGAGTTCAAGCCCTAGGACTGGAATGCACACAACAAAAAGTTTATGAAAGGTTAAAGTTAATTATCCCTAAGTGAAAGTCAAGGAAATTGAATTCTAGAGAATTTGATTTGCCCTGATTCTCCCTATCATTGATATGAGAACTCTCATAGAATGTGTCTGCCTAGCTATCTCTTATCTACCTGCCTACCTACCTACGTATCTCTACTTCCAGAAATGTTGGGTTTATTACTAGGACCGCATCTATAATCTCAACTACTTATAAGACCAAGACAGGAAGATCATGAGTTTAAAATGGTCTCAAAAATAAAACAGCTATGGGTGTAGCCCAAGTGGGATAGAATGCTTTTCCTAGCATGTGCAAGACCCTGGAGTTCCTTAAGACAAAAGGAAAGAAAAAAAAGCAAGAGAAAAAACAACATTTCACCCATGTCTATGACCTGAGTTCGAGATCTGCCTCCTCCAAGTCTCCAGAGCTGCAGTGAGACCTTCATTCTCTGAACACTTCTGGGAATTTCTCGGAGGCCTAGGGAGGTTACTCCTTGCATAGAACCCAGAGTGAGGGCCAGAGACATTCAGGAAGCTCCACCTCTGGTGCCTCAACACCCCCCCCCCCTTGTATCTTGACTGACTGCTGTCTCACAAAAGCTGGCCATGCACCAACTCTATACATTGTCACTACACACTAATAAGTTCCCAAGAGGATTAGCAATGAGCGTTGCCCACAGTATGTCTGAAGGAGAAGCTGTAGAAAAGTAATTGGTTCATGCATGAGGTATATTCCAGTCAGATGACAAAGATTATTCTAAATGCAGAGCCTCAGACAAACTGTGAGTCTGAATTAGGGTGGCTGACTACGTCACATGCTTTTTCTTGGCTCACATATTTAGCTTTCTTTTTTTCTTTGTGAGACATTATCTAAGTTCTCCTGCCAAAGCCTACTCCAGATTATACCAGTAATGGGGTAGCAGAGTGCTCCGTTGCTATTCTCCATTGGCATAGGAGGCATTAAGGCCAGCTCTGACGGCCTCCCCACCGCAGTCCATTTGCCATGCAGGTGCCCAGATTAACCCTCCGGACAGTTCATTCAGGAAGGAGAGGCTCACAGCTGGGGAAAGGACCTACTATGGCTAGACTCATCGGACCTTGTCTTTGACTATTCTATCATTTTTATTATCTTTAAGTACTTGTACAAAAGGGTCATTATTCACCATGTCGGTTTCTAAGTACAATGCATCATGATGTTTCACAATTTTAAGATGAACCTGTTTAACAATGGCTAGTTTTAAAAAGTCTTATCTAAATAGGTTCCTGGCCACATTGATAAAACAATCACAATGGGACTAGGTACAGACTTACTAGTGAATTTTTCAGTGTGAAGTTAAGATGTAACACCACTCATTGTAGACCAGCCCTTGGATAACAAACTGGCATGAAGTCTGGGAGAGAAAACCCTGGTTCATTTATTGAACCAACACCCACTTAATCAACACCAAGTATTAGATATTGCAGAAGTCATGCGGAAGACAGAAAATTTCCATATCCTATTATAGAAGATAAGAAACCTGTCAACAAGCACGTGTGTGTGTGTGTGTGTGTGTGTGTGTGTGATAGGAACAATTGATGGTGATGACAAAATATTAAGAGGGTAAATGTATATGGTTGAAATTCCTCTCTAGATAGACAGTTAAACATATGTTGGAACACTGGCAATGTAAGTTTAGAAGGCTTTCATTGTAACTTTCATTTCATCTTTGAGTTGTGTTGAAGAGTAAGAGATGTAGTTA